TTGTTATCATCAAAGTCATCATTAATTAATTTAATGAAACCTTGGAGCCAAAAGATTATTCATGAGTTTCTTCACTTTTCAATTTTTTAAGATCAATTGTTTGTATTTTTTTAAGAGAAAATAAGATAAATATCACTTAGAGTATATGGATATGGATTTTTATCCCTTACTCTTGACTAATATCCTTTTTAGTTAAATAACTATCTTAGTCAAAAGGGTATTAATCAAAAGTAAATGGTAAAAAGCTAAACTCATGCACTTTAAAAGTAAGTTCAACAATTTTCTCTCCTTTATTTTTAACTCATTGTCCCAATCTATTTACTTGAGCTCATTAGCGCCTCGTTTCGTGCTCGTGTCGGCACATTTAATAATCGTATCTGGTTGTGTTACTGCGCTTATTATGATTTATGATATTTAAGCTACAATTAACTTATATTTGTGCGGTGCCCTTTAATGTGCTTATACTATAATCATGCCTAATAAAAAATTATAAATAAACTGGAGAATAAAATATTGAATAAAGTAAGAATTTTAATTTTATGTGGAAACTTGGAACAAAGCATTTTATAAGAATTTTAATTTTATGTGGAAACTCGAAACAAAGCATTTTATCCTATAACGTTAAAAATCTTACTTAGAAACAATTCAAATAAGATAAAATTTTGTTAAAAGAATAGTTCATCACAAGTTTCATAAGAAAATGATTAGAAAAAACACATAATAGGAAAGCAATAGTGTCGTTCTACTGTATACCGCTTATCGTGTTTATGTCGAATTTAAGACTATATTTGGTTGGAGGTAAGGAATAGATCTGATGTTTGGTTGGTTTGAATACAAAGAATAGCCATTCCAAGTGAAATGACTTTTCTATCACTTGATTGAATTATCATTCCTCCTATGCGTGGGTGAAAAAGTCATTCCATTGTATTTTTAATTTTTTTTTTTCTAAACTTGCCTTTTTATCAATTTTTTTACCCCACCACCCCATCTATCCTCAATCTCAGCCAATGCTAGGTCAGTTGTCTTTCGTTGAACCACGCCAACAAGTTGCCGATTGAGCACTGCCATTTTTTCCATTGTTACTCAAACCAGTCTTTTTCTAGACCCACGATCGCCCACTGTTCAAACTCATGCCGCGCAATGCCAACCTAGCCCAACATCGTCCTCACCCTTAGCGCCGCCCTCACCCCCAAACCCCTCTTCGCTCGCAGCACTATCCTTCCCCCTGAGCCATCCTTGCTCACAGCGCCTTCCTTGCCCCCAAAGCCTTCTAAGGGTAATGTTGTCAAATTAACCAAAAATGATGGTATACCATTTCATAGTATTTTTAAAACTATAACACTATTACAAAATAAATAAATCACTTTTATTTTTACATTCTAATATAATATCATTCTCATTCTGATTCACATTCATATTATTATTACTATTTTCTCACTGCAATCAAACGAACGGTAAGTGCCCTTAACGTGAAGATGAGTTGCTTGTAGTAACAAAGGCTGAGCTGACTTAGGCTTAGTTTGGTAGTGCTGTAGATTTTGAAAAAATTACTTTTAACTGTGCTGTTAGAATAAGCAGCTAAGTGTTTGGTAAACTATAATTATAGTAGATGTGTTGGTTCCGAAATCAATATAATAGCGTTTGGTAAATTATGAGGTTAAATTATTATGGACAGTTAAAAATTAAGACTATATTATATTATACTATAATATAATATATATAATTACAATATAATATATATTTATTATT